GGAAGGCAGCATGAACATCTCCCCGTCTCGGTGACAGTGGCTGTGCCTCTGGGGTGCCTTGGCCATGCTTGGCATTCTCTCTCTCTCACTGCACATTTGGTCAGCAAACCACACAGGCTGTACCTAGAAAACACGGCTGAGGTCCCTCCACCCTGACTGACGTCACGTGACCAGCCTGGTGCTGGTTCCACTATACCCCTCACCCCTCAAGGCTCCGTGAGGTCACCCTCATTTCCATAGCTGTCTCCCCACAGACCCTGGCCACCTTGGTCCTCAGCTCACACCCGTAACGATAACTCTTTCCGCCAGCTGCCTGAGCCCCGTTGCCACGTGGTTGCCCAAAATATCACACAGAGATTAATATTAGGTACGAATGCTGCCGGCGGATGACCAGGATTTCTCATCTGCTAGCTCAGTCTTAATTATCAACCATAGCTATTAAACTATATATTTTACAAATTATCTTATTGAGGACGCAGGAGGAATGCATCCTGTCTTCCCTGGCTCACGTGGTGACTCCCTTACTACATTTCCCAGAATCCTCCTCGACTCCTAGTCCCGCCTAACTTGCTGCCCTATTGGCCAACAGTGCTTTACTTATCAACCTTATACGACAAACATACACAGAAGGACATTCCCATCACACACCCAGCCCTGGCGCTTGGAAGGGCTTGGAAGGTCAGGAGCGGGGAGCTGGTCCTTGCTTTGACTCACTGCCCTTCTTCCCTCCTCCCTGCAGACCCCGGGGGGCTCCTGCCCCAGGGCCTTTGCACTTGTGTCTTTCAGGAGCGCTCTTCTGTCAGGCATCCTCAAGGCCGCTGCTTTTCTTCAGAGCTCTGCTCTAGTTAACCCGGCTGCTGGGCTGGCAGAGGCCTGGGGTGGCTCCCTGTGACCACATGGAAGAGGTGTGGGAGAGCACGCCACACCCATGACCCCCGTACCGGGGAGGTGGAGGCAGGAGGGCCACAGTGCAAGGTCAGCCTTGGCTGTGTGCTAAGTTTGAGGCCAGCCTGCGATATCTGAGAACCATCCACCACCCCTACCGCCCCGCCATGCACGGAAGAAGAGTGACCCCATCAAACAGACATGCTTGCACACACACACACACTGCACACACGCACTGCGCACACGCACATGCACACACGTGCGCATGCACACGCGCACACACGCACACGCAATATGAACATGCATACACACGCACATGCACGCACACGCGCGCACATGCACACGCGCGCACACGCACATGCACACACACGCACACGCGCGCACATGCACACGCGCGCACACACGCACATGCACACACATGCACACACATGCACACACGCACACGTGCGCACGCAAGCGCACTCGCACACACGCGCGCACACACGCACGCGCACTTGCACACACATGCACACGCGCACACACACGCGCACACATGCACACGCACATGCACACGCACATGCACGCACGCACACACATGCACACGCGCGCACACACGCACACACATGCACACATGCACACGCACATGCACGCACGCACACACATATGCACACGCGCGCACACACGCACACACATGCACACGCACACGCACATGCACACACGCACATGCACACGCACGCGCACTCGCACACACTGCACGCACATGCACACACGCACATGCACACGCACGCACACACGCACACACACGCAATGCACGCACACCGCACACACACACATGCACACACGCACATGCACACACACACATGCACACACGCACATGCACACGCACGCGCACACACGCAATGCACGCACACCGCACACACACACATGCACACCGCACACACGCAGACCCAGAGGAAATCTCCCCCTTCCTAGTTACTCAACCAGAAAAGCCTCTCTCGCTGTGTCTGTCTGCAGGTAAAGGACACCTG